GGAAGGTGATATATATATATATATATATATATATATAATTTTAATTGTTTAAAAGATGAGTAATACTATTTGGACATCCAAGATTGACCACATTAGTTGACCACCTTATGTGACAGCTGATGTGTATATGCCACGTCACTTAAATGTGGCCAACTGTGTTTTTCTTTTTTCCTTTTTAAATTAAGTAATTTATATTTTCAACTTTTCTTCTTCTTCGTTGTATCCCTTTGGCCTTTGCTCATCCTCCTGCGATCTCCCTCCAAAAAGAAAACCAATTCTTTGATTCAACAGACCCAAATCTGCAAATCAACTAATCAAGAAAATCCAACTCAAAAATCTAAATGCCTATTTCACTAGCTATCTAGAAAATCCGAATTGATTTTGAGATCTCATATTCTCTGGTCATGTGTATAAGAGTTAAAAAGAATATTGAAGCTTTAGTGTGTTGCTGGGAATGGGTTATTAGCTTTCCAATCAAATGGGCAGTCTGGTGAAGTATCGAAGTCGAACAATTCCCAAAATATGAACTATTTTTATTTTAAAAATGAATGTTCTTCCAAGATGGATTGATGCTATTTGTCGGGTTTCTCGCTCGGCTTGGTGGTGCTCGGAGATGTGGCAAGCAGTGCGCCGGTGTTACTGGGTAAGGGTAGATTTGATGGAGGAAGGGAGTGTTGAGTAGATAATGAAGCTACAGCCTGCTACAGCGTACAGATGCTAGGGTTAATTATAATTTTGTTGTTTTGAAGGATTATTTAAAAAAATAAAAGTAAATAAAAATAAAATCTACATGGCAATATTCATTAATTGACATGGCATGATCACATCAGCTGCCACATGCCACATAAGGTGGTCAATTAATGTGGTCATGTGTGTCTAAATAGCGTTACTCTTAAAAGATATACAATTTTTTTTATAATGATTTTTTCATTTTTAAAATACACTTGAAAATAGAAAAATTAAAATATTCTTAAAATGAGTGGAAAATTGGACGGTGTTAAAATTAAATGACAAATCATGAATTTTGAAAAATTAAAGTGATATTTCTCTTAAATTTTTACTTAAGGTAATAAATTGAAACTGAAGTATATAAGTTAAAAAATTCATATTAAAAAATAAAATAAAGTGTAAGTGGAATGATTGCAAAAAAATTATAAAAAACAGAAAAATAGGGAATATGTCACACTGGGATTTGTGACGACTGACGAACAAGCCTACATTTGACAACGTGACACAATTACATCCTCAGCTGTTCTTCGAGAAAAACGAACGCTCTCTCACCCTCCACCAGTAGAGTAGAGAGGAAGGCAATTTCTTGTTCTTCCTATTTTTATTTTTATTTTTGTTAATCAATCTACGTAGTTTTGCTTCGTTTTCCCCCATTCTCATTTCACACGCAAAATCCACATCAGCAAGCCAGCTTTTTAGCTTGATTTTTCTCTTTTGGTCAACCCCTTTGCGTTCACAAGCAAAGGTGTCAAATTCCAGGCGCTTCTGCATATTAAGTAGAAGAAGACAAAGCCCAAGTTGATCTCACCGCGTTGAGGCACCGACTGACAAATCCAAAGTACAGTTTGTTTCTTCTTCCCTTTACTTTTGTTTTGTCTGCGTAGCGCGCTTTTGCATCGACTGTTTTTGGTGGGTGGATAATCGAACTTGTTGGCTGAGATTTCAATGTTTTCGCTTTTGCGTGTTTGAATGCAATCTTATGTGGTTTGTTGGTGAGTGGTGATTGGATAAGAAATTCTAAAACCCAATGAGGTAAATCGTTGTTAGTATTGTTTGTTGTTGTAGAATCTGAATTCTCTTTAGGGTCAAAGGCAGCTGGAAATTGAATTAGAGGGATTGTTTGGATTTTGGCTGAAAATCCCCTAAGAAAAATCAAAGCTAGCTTTTTCGATGTTTGTGAGGTGATTTCTGATTTGAGCTGTTCATTTGGCGGTGGTGTGAAGCTAAAATAAAAAATCAGAAGTGGGTTGTTCCAAATTTTGTGTGAAATCTCGGAACTTAGGAAGTTTTTTTTTTGTAGCTTAGAAGAGATCAGCTTGGAATTGGTCATTGCCAGTGTAATCTTTGATTTTTCTTCTTGGAGAGGATAATATTGGAAACTTTTAAAGTGTCTATGAGCATTTGTGCATGTAATTGGCTGTGCTAATCTTTAGTTTCTTGGAGCTGAGTTTATTTGGAAGAAGAAGAAGAAGAAGATGGTTGGGACTTCTGATGCAGTGACCCATGATGTCTACTCAAATGGGTTGATTCACCACTCAAATGAATCTGTTGAGGAGAAGCTTGATGAGCTTCGACGTCTAATGGGCAAAACAGAAGGTGATCCACTTAGGATAGTTGGTGTTGGTGCTGGTGCTTGGGGAAGTGTCTTTGCTGCTATGTTGCAAGATAGTTATGGCCACTTTAGAGAGCAGGTCCAAATAAGAATATGGAGACGACCAGGAAGATCTGTTGACAGAGCCACAGCAGAACATTTATTTGAAGTGATCAATTCAAGGGAAGATGTGCTGAGGAGACTGATTAGGCGGTGTGCTTACTTGAAGTATGTTGAGGCAAGATTAGGTGATCGGACGCTTTATGCAGATGAGTTACTGAAGGATGGGTTTTGCATCAATATGATTGACACCCCTCTTTGCCCTTTGAAGGTTGTCACAAATTTGCAGGAGGCTGTGTGGGATGCTGACATTGTGGTGAATGGGCTGCCATCAACAGAAACTCGTGTGGTATTTGAAGAAATTAGTAGGTACTGGAAAGAGAGAGTAACAATGCCAGTCATCATCTCTCTTTCAAAAGGTGTTGAGGCTGAATTGGAGCCTGAACCACGCATAATTACTCCCACTCAAATTATCAATCGAGCAAGTAAGACTGATTCTATAATTTTCTTTAATAGTTGGCAATTTTTGCACGGGTACCTGTTTTTTACTTGAGCAATTCTTCTTGGTTGTTTTCTGTCTGTCTCAACATTCCTCTCCTCTTTGATGCTGATTTAGTTATTTGGTATGTTTTATAATAGTTTTATTAATCTTGAAATTGTTTGGTTTGTTGCTACTTCTCCTCGCCACCCCTCTCTTGAATTGAATGAAGGCCTTGAGATTCTTAGTGGGCTTTCCTCTGATATTATGAAAGTGATCTTTATCTTTGTTCTTATACAGTTATAGTAGTTCGTACATCATGGAATGCCTGTATGATTAGGGTAGATCTGCTATTAATTAGTTACTTGGCAAGTTTTTTTCACCCTGGCTATCTGTCTTTATCTAATATGTACTGTGCTTTGCAGCTGGTGTTCCAAATGAGAACATTCTCTACCTTGGAGGACCCAATATTGCCTCAGAGATTTACAACAATGAATACGCTAATGCTCGCATATGCGGATCTGAAAAGTGGAGAAAGCCATTGGCCAAGTTTTTAAGGCAGCCCCACTTCATCGTGTGGGACAATGGTGACCTTGTTACTCATGAAGTTATGGGCGGATTGAAGAATGTGTATGCCATTGGAGCTGGTAAGATTCAGTATCATAATAAGCATGGGTTAAAAGATAGAAGAGAAGCAAAGTCAACCTTTTTCAATTACAATGGATATGATGGCATAAATTGCATTTCATAAAAGTTAAGAAATTTGGTGTTTTTCTTCAATTTAACCCATAATGGTTGGACTGCAGTGCAAGTTAACACACACTAAATACAGTCTTAGGAGGTATAGTTTTCATAATTTAAATGGTTTGAGAGAGTACACATAAAACCTAAGAGGTAGGGGTGGCAATGGGTCGTGTCGTGTCAAGATTATATACGTGTCAGGAATGCTCAATCCAAACCCAACCCGTTTAATAAATGTGTCATGCATGGGTTGACCCGTTAAGTTCTGGTGCTGGTTTCGGTCGTGTTGAGTTGACCCGCTAAGTGGTAGCAACTAAAATGCATTAAAAAAAAAATTAGAAAAATGAAGAATAAACAAATAAATGGGTAAGTGGGTTGGTGGGTTACACGGGTATTTTAGCGGGTTGACGGGTTACATAGGAATTTTAGCGAGTTGGCGGGTTGACCCGTCATGACCCGTTTTGTTAAACGGGTTACATAGGTACTTGAAACTCACCCATTTATTAAACGGGTCATGGCGGGTTGGCTAAAAAATGACTTGAATTTTAATCGTGCGGGTTTCGAGTCGTGTAATGGGTCGTGCCTGAAATTGCCACCCCTACTAAGAGATACCATTGTTGAAAAATTGGCTCACCTAAGGATGCATGTTTGGAGGACAAGCGAACGATTGCTGGATAGTAGCGACCGATCGTTTTGAAGTAGTGGAAGAGCTGAAAATCGCCAGAAAGTGACCAGTCGCATGGTTGAGGGCGACCGGTGGTTTTAAGGCAGTGAGCACACGATGCTTACCGCTTCAGAGTGACCGGTCGCTCCAGTCGTTGTGTTTTGTTTTTCACGTGCTTTCAAGACTTTTTTCATGTGCTATGTTCTCTACCTAATTGCAAGGATCACCTAAATCATTTATAAGTTCTAGGGAGGTTGACAATTTGCTGGGAGAGCTGGGATAACACTTATGGTTGTTTGTTGACTTGTTTCAAGGGCTTTCTACTTTGGTTCTAGATAGGGTGGCTGAAGTTAGATGGGATGTAGCTTTTGTTGACTTGCTTTTTGGTTCCCCTACACCATGAGTCTATGTAGGTTGGTTGAAGGTTGAATGTTGAATGTGCAGTAAGAGGAAGCTTCCTCCTAGGTTCAAAGGCTCATCTATCCCAGCATCATAAAGAGGAGTTGATGCAAGAAAACAAGATAGGAGAAAGAAAGCAACCAGCTCAAGTTAGGAGCTGAGAGTTGGAGTCTTGTAAGTCTAGAAACCAAGGAGGAAAAACTAAGTGAGCTAGTCCACAAAGCATCAAGGGTTTGAGCAGAGGGATGAGAGAGAAAGAGAGCTTGGGAAAGATTAGAGTTCAAAGGGGTTTCCTTGTGAACCAAGGCCTATCTTTCATTAGTGAATTTTCTTAAGGGGATCACCAAGAGGATGTAGGCAAGTTGCGGAACCTTTATAAATCTGTGTTCTTTGTGTGCTTGCTTTTTTTTTTTTCTTGTGAGTGTGTGTGTTTCTTTCATCCTTGTGGGTTGTGAGGGTTTGTAATATAGTTTATCAACAAGAAGATCCTAAGGGAGTTATTTGCACAACAAGTGGTATCCGAGCTGTGTTTGCAGCTGGTTCTAGTTCATGCCCAATTGCTTTTACAATTTCCAAAGAGCTAGTGTGTTCGAGATGGTGGGTGATAAGCTAACTGACAGTGAGAGCAGCTCACATCAGTCAAAACAACCACATGTGGTTAGCATGAAGGTGGAGTTGAAGACTTTCATAGGGAAGGAGTGTTGTGCAAATAACTCCCTTAGGATCTTGTTATTGATGGACTTTGGACAAACACAATGATGGATGTGTCAAACACAGAAAATAACCAAGCTCAAATGACACGAGTATTTATAGAGGTTCAGCAATTTGCCTACATTCTCTTTGGTGATCCCGTTGAGAAATTTCACTAATGAAGATAGGTTACAACTTTAGTTTACCAATGTAAACCCCCTTAGAACACTACTCTCAACAATAAGTTTTTCTCACACCCCTTGCTCAAAACTTTGATGCACTTGTGAACTCCATCACACTTGGTTTTCTCTCTTCCTACTATAGCTTTTTAGCCACACTTATTGTCTTGCATATGCTTCCCTTTTATAATGCGACAAGCTGTTGGACTTAGGAGGAAGCTTCCTCATGCTGCACATTCAACCATCAACCACCCTACATAGACCTAGAGTTAGGGGAACTAAAAGCAAGTCAGCAAAGGCTGCACCTCCTAACTTCAGCCACCTGATCTAGAACCAAAGAGTGGGAAACCATTGAAACAAGTCAACAAACAATCATAAATTGCTATCCCAACTCTCCTTGCAGATTGCCAACCTTCCCAGAACTCATAAATGATTTAGGAAGTCCTTGCAATTAGGTAGAGAATATAGCACATGGAAAAGAGTCTTGAAAACACGTGGAAAAAACAGCACGACATAATCGACTTCAATCTACTTTGAAACGACCGGTCCCACCTACCCGGCGACAGATCGCTTTCCCTGTAGTTTGCATCTTTTACGTAAGCCAATTTTTTTCCAACAATCTCCACCTTTGCGAGCCTAAACTCCTTATGAAAATTATTGCCTTCCAAGACATCTGTAGCATCCTGAGAATCGTCCTGATAACTCTCAAGAACTTCACCTCAATCTTTAGCATGGAACAAGATTGAGCAAGCTCAAACAATGTTTGAACTTTGCTGCTGTGACTGGCTTTGTTAGACAATATGAAGCGTTCTTTGTTGTATGAACCTTCTTTATCATGTTGTCCCTATCGTTCACCAAATCCCTTATTCGGTGATATCAAACATTAATGTGTTGGGACCTTCAATGAAACACTTGATTCTTGACCAAACATGTAGCACTTTGACTGTCACTTTGAATAACTATCAAGTCTTGAGCTATCCTAAATTCTTTTGCTGATCTCTTTAGCCATACTGCTTCTTTAGAAGCTTCCGTTGGCGCCATATACTCCGCTTTGGTAGTAGACAAGGCACTAATCGATTGTAGCACTACTCTCCAACTAATCGGTCCTCCACCATAAGTGAAGACATATCCTATGGTAGACCTTGTCTAAATCTCCTGCATAATCAGAATCACATACCCCGACACACATACCTTTTCTTCTGTTTTTCAAACAATATCCCAAACTTCTTGGTGCCCTTCAAGTACCTGAGAATCCACTTTGTTGCATTCCAGTGTTGTTTGCTTGGATTTGCCATGTACCTTGACACCACACTAATGGCTCGGGCTAAGTTGGGGTGTGTGCAAACCATTGCATACATGAGACACTCTACCAAGCTTGCATATGGAACTTTGCTCATTTCTTTCTTCTTTTCATCCATGAAGCTTGAAAATGACCGGTCGCAAGTATATGGCGACCTGTCGTTTTCTAGTGATTTTCAAGTCCTCTAATCTAGGGATGGCAATGGGTCGAATCGGGGGTGGGGATGTCATTCCCACACCCATCCCCATTAAGCTTTTTTCCCCATCCCCGCCTTCATACCCGCAATATTTATATCGGGGATTCCCCATCCCCACCTTCGTTGAGGATTGGGTTCCTCGACCCGCCCCATTACGGAAGAAAAAACCAACATATAACTATTTTGTTGAAAAAAAAAGTACTAATTCAAGATAATGAACATATATAATATATACTTATAAGATAATATAAGAATGTTTATATATGTATTGGAAGTTAACTAAATAAATAAGTAGTGTGGCTTAAGATTTGTATAAGTTATATAAGTATATAATATAATAATATAAAATATAAAACTTAGTCGGTACAATCACTTTAATAGCATATTTATATATACTATATATATATACCTCATCAAAAATCTAATATATATTCTAAACGGGGAGGGTTCGGGTTGGGGATTAAAATACCGTCCCTGCCCCTCCCCGAACACCATACCCAAAAAATTCCTCATACCCATCCACATACTTGTTTTTTGTCCTTCACACCCGACCCATTAGGGTCGAATCCCCACGAAGACCCTTACCCGCGGGGAAAATTGCCATCCCTACTCTAATCTGCTTCAAAACGACTGTTGTGCGGAAGCGTCAACCAATTGCGAGTGAAAAATAAACAACAACTGGCAGGAGATAAATGGAACACAAAACACAACACTAACAAGAACACCAAGATTTATACTGGTTCGGCAATGCCTACATCTAGTTTGGAGACGACGGAGTAATTCACTATAATCAAAGAGAGTATACAAAGTGTTTATCACTCAAGAAAGCCCAAAGCCCCAAATACACCCAAGTCTCACTCTCCCAACAATTGAAGAGAAAACAGTGATACAAAGCAAAGAACAATCAGAGAGAAATGTTTCTCTCTTTGGCAAGATGCCTTTCTTGCTATTTTTCCTCTTCTACTCAACACTTGGTGGCATGCTTCAAATGGAACTATTTGCTTCCAATTTATAGCCAAAAATGCAAGAGTGTGAATGCAAGCTTCAACTATTCATTTGTTGGCTACCAAACTTACCAATGGATGGCTACCAAACAATCCACCCTTTTTGACCTCATAGTAAGCCAACATTTACTTACATGGGCAACTAACTTTGACTCACATGGGCAACTCCAAAATTCTTCTACATTTGAGCCAACTTTCAACACACGCTTGCTTGAACGACTCCTTGCAATTAGACCCGCATCTTGAGAGCTTTCCTCCAAACATTGGGACATCTTGTGATGCTTCATCACATCTTGCACCACCTCCTCAAAATTCAGAGTACTTTTTCCGAACATAAGAGTAGTACGAAAGTGCTTATAGGACAGAGGTAAAGATGTTAGAAACATAAGAGCATTATCCTCCGTACTATATTTAACTTTCATTCTCTGCAAGTCAGCAACACATTTATTGAAGCTACTTAAATGCTCCATTAATTTATCTCCCTCCTCCATCCGAAGATTTGGGAGTTCCATTTTGAAGAAGAGCTTGTTCGATAGCGACTTCTCTGCAAACATTTCCACGAGCTTCTCCTATATTTGCTTCACTGTGTCTTGCATCACATTGATGAGCACCTCATCTGTGATGTAGTTCTTGATGGCTCCTCTAGTCAACTCGTCTAGAACACCCCACTCCTCGTCTGTCATGGTTATCGGCTTCTTTTCATTGCCAAGACAATACTGAGATTTTGCTCTGTATGGGCTTACTTCATCCTTCTTTGCCACAATGTGAAGTTCCCCTTGTTGAAAAAAATTGGCTCACCTAAAGGATGCAAGCTTCGGAAAAAGCGACCGGTCACCAGGTAGGTGAGACCGGTCGTTGTTGAAAGTTGGCTCAAATGTAGAAGAATTTTGGAGTTGCCCATGTGAGTCAAAGTTAGTTGCCCATGTGAGTAAATGTTGGCTTACTATGAGGTCAAAAAGGGTGGATTGTTTGGTAGCCATCCATTGGTAAGTTTGGTAGCCAACAAATGAATAGTTGAAGCTTGCATTCACACTCTTGCATTTTTGGCTATAAATTGGAAGCAAATGGTTCCATTTGAAGCATCCCACCAAGTGTTGAGTAGAAGAGGAAAAATAGCAAGAAAGGCATCTTGCCAAAGAGAGAAACATTTCTCTCTAATTGTTCTTTGCTTTGTATCACTGTTTTCTCTTCAATTGTTGTGAGAGTGAGACTTGGGTGTATTTGGGGCTTTGGGCTTTCTTGAGTGATAAACACTTTGTATACTCTCTTTGATTATAGTGAATTACTCCGTCGTCTCCAAACTGGATGTAGGCATTGCCGAACCAGTATAAATCTTGGTGTTCTTGTTGGTGTTGTGTTTTGTGTTCCATTTATCTCCTGCCAGTTGTTTATTTTTCACTCGCAATTGGTTGACGCTTCCGCACAACAGCGCGGAGGTAAGAAAAGTAACGAGAGGAATGCTAAGTCTAAGGACAATTAAGGCTTCTTCGAGTGTGGATCTCCGGATCATTAGAAGCAATATTGTCCGGTATGGAAGGAGAAGCAGAACAAGATGAAGAATGCCGAAGGTTAAGTGCAGCCAACGTGTCTATTTGATACACAAATGATGAACTTTTGATGGTTACTGAGGAGAGTAATGGGGAAGTCAAGGAAAATTATTCGGGTGAGAGTTCTAATTCAAGTTGGATTTTAGATTCCGGGTGTACCTATTATATGTGTTCAAATAAGTTGATGTTTAACATATATGAGGCTAAAAAGTCATGCAAGATTATGTTGGGAGACAAAACTACCTGTGAAGTTTTGGGCATGGGGACAGTGAAGATCAAGTTGCAAGATGGTGATATTTGGAGTCATAGTGAGGTAAGGTTCGTACCTGCACTAAGAATAAATCTACTCTCTCTTGGCTCTTTAGATAGAGAAGGGTACTCATAAGGCCGAAGGAGAGAAGCTTGTAGTCACACAAGGTTCCGTCATTGTTATGAAGGGAGAGATTCAACCAAACAACACTTACTAGCTTTTGGGAGGTACAACTACCGGTGGAGCAGAGAGTTCCACCAAGGTATACTCGGATGAAAGCAAGGCCGAGTTGAAGGACAAGGTCCACAAAAGAAAAGTGAAGTGAAGACAAGGGATGATGTGGAGGATGTTGTTGAATAGAAGCTTCTTACCAAGGTGGTCATGGAAGTGACTCCATTTTGGTTGGAGCTTGACATAGGGGATGAAGAAGGAGGGCAACAATAACAAACTCACAAAGGGAATCTACTTGAGGTGGAGCCATCATCAATTGCAAGGTCTGGGCCCAAGAAATCCATTAAACTGTCCCTAGGTTTTGGATGGATGGACCAAGAAGTTTCAACCACGTTTCGGAGTGCTTTAGGGAGCATGAAGCGAGAAAGTTAGAGGGTTGCATTGATGAGAAGGGTGAGTGTGCAGTTTGCATATCAAGGCATGACTAGGATTCAAGGTTCCAGGAAGGCAAGGAGCAAGGAGTTCGACATGAAGGATCTCATTTCTGCACAAGAGGTCCAGGTTACTCAAGTTTAGACTTGGGAGGAGCACCTTTCACCAAAGGTGTGTTGAGGCAAGGGGCTTCTTGCCATGGTGGAGTTCTTGGGAGTTATCAGGATGATTCTCAAGATATTACAGATGTCTTGGAAAGCATTGATTTTCACAAAGAGTTTAGGCTCGCCAAGGTAGAGATTTTTGAAAAATTGGCTCTCCTAAGGATGCATGTTTAGAGGACAAGCGACTGGTCGCTGGGTAGTAGCGACCGGTCATTTTGAAGCAGAGTGGAAGAGCTAAAAATCACCACAAAAGCGACCGGTCGCATGGTTGAGGGCGACCGGTCGTTTTAAGCCAGTGAGCACACAATGCTTACTGCTTCAAAGTGACCGGTTGCAACTGCCCGGCGATCGGTCCCTCCAATCATGCTGTTTCGTTTTCCACGCGTTTTCAAGACCTTTTTCATGTGCTATGTTCTCTACCTAATTGCAAGGATCACCTAAGTCTTTTATGAGTTCTAGGGAGGTTGGCAATCTGCTGGGAGAGCTGGGATAACACTTATGGTTGTTTGTTGACTTGTTTCAAGGGCTTCCTACTTTGGCTCTAGATAGGGTGGCTGAAGTTATGTGGGATGCAGCCTTTGCTTACTTGTTTTTTGGTTCCCCTACACTTTGAGTCTATGTAGGTTGGCCGAAGGTTGAATGTGCAGCAAGAGGAAGCTTCCTCCTAGGTTCAAAGGCACATCTATCCCAGCATTATAAAGAAGAGTTTATGCAAGAAAACAAGAAGATAGGAGAAAGAGAGCAATCAGCTCAAGTTAGGAGCTGAGAGTTGGAGTCTTGTTAGTCTAAAAACCAAGGAGGAAAAACTAAGTTAGAGAGTCCACAAGAGCATCAAGGGTTTGAGCAAAGGGGTGAGAGAGAAAAAGAGAGCTTGAGAGAGATTAGAGTTCAAAGGGGTTTCTTTGTAAACCAAGGTTGTAACCTATCTTTCATTAGTGAATTTTCTCTAGGGGGTCACCAAGAGGATGTAGGCAAGTTGCAGAACCTCTATAAATCTCTGTGTTCTTTGTGTGCCTGCTTATTTTTCCTGTGAGTGTGAGTGTTTCTTTCATCTTTGTGGGTTGTGAGGGTTTGTTACGTAGTCCATCAACAACAAGATCCTAAGGGAGTTACTTGCACAACAACCACAATCATTCATTTGAAGGGGCATTACTCTTTTGACGCTACAAGTTACCATGTTTGATATAGCACATATTAAGTACTGTGGTGGATGTGAAATAATGATTCAGGAAGTGTCATATATCTATAGATTCAGGACTAAAAATTACAAATTCATGATATCTATATATATACATATAGAGAGGGACACTTTCCAGATAAAATTTAGATTTCCATGTTAATTGCCTGCTCTAGTTGGTTCCATCTCATGTCAATTGGAAGGTGACCTCTTGCCTTGGATTGCCCTGCTGTATCTTATCCTGTGATGTTCTTTCATATGCTAGTCCTGTGATTTTATCATGCTATACTTGAAGGCTTTAATTTATTTAGCAAACTTCGAATTATGATTTAACAGGAATGGTAGCTGCGTTAACCAATGAGAGCGCCACCAGCAAATCAGTATACTTTGCACATTGTACATCAGAGATGATATTTATCACCCATTTGTTGGCTGAAGAACCAGAGAGGCTGGCAGGGCCTTTGTTGGCTGACACATATGTAACCTTACTGAAAGGTCGTAATGCATGGTATGGACAAAAGCTGGCCAAAGGGGAGTTAACCCTTGAAATGGGTGATAGCATCAAGGGCAAGGGTATGATTCAGGTACTGATCTCAATCACCTTAAATAGCGGTGAAGTAACAAGCATGAGCCTTTTTAGAATTATACTAGAACTGGTTGGATTACAAAGTTGAAGCAGGAAGAGAGGGGAAGGGGTGTTGAATACTTACAAATGCATTGAAGTTAGTATATCATTATTATTGTTTAATGAAATCAGGGGTGTGACTTGCAAACATGACTTAAATATAGTGCGAAGCCTGCCTGATCTTTGTTTGCATTGATAAAGTTTAATGACAAGTCGTTGCAACTATAAATTTAAAAAATTATAATCAGATTCTGCATAGTACTCAAAAAAAATATTCTGATGGCTGCTCAAAGTTCTATTGACGAAATATTAAAAAATCTGGGGGAACATCCATTGAGTAGCTTGAACTGGAAATTTTCGTTGTTTATTGGATCTCATTGACTCTGTACTTTAAAAGTTAAACTATGTGTAATTGTAGAATGGCGGGTCATATAAGATACATAATTCTATACGATACAAGCCAATGTGTGGATTCCTTATACCAATTCCTCCTCTATATGTGCCCTACAAACTGTTGTTCTGGGTAATCCGTTTTAGAATTCTAATTCATTATTTCAGAAAAAGCTAAATCAATTGCAGTTCAATTCTTATGTTTGGCTTCACCTGGGATAAGCAATCCACTTCTTTATTAATTTACTATTAGTTTTTGTGTTCAAGTTTCATTTCACTGGCTGTTTAAAATATGGGCACATTGCAGCTAGTGCTGTGTGAGCAATTTCACCCCCTCCACTTCTCCTGGAGTATGAATTTGAATTTCATGTGACTGCTTTCTCTTTTAGTGAAAGGATGTGGGGGCTGTTGTCTTTTCACAATAAAATTATATTAGCCGCTTGGAAGAGTACCAAGAACATGAATGATTCAGGGCCAACTCTGTTGTAACTTCTCTGCTGATGATATTCCTACTTTTATTTTTGCAGGGGGTCTCTGCTGTAAAAGCATTTTTTGAGCTGCTAAGTCATCCCTCTTTAAGTATCCTACATCCTGAAGAGAACGAACCCATTGCTCCAGTTGAGCTTTGCCCTATCTTGAAGATGCTATATAGAATACTTATAATAAGGTATTGTATTTCCATAAAGTTGGTTGAAATTAGACTAGAAAATAAATCTATTGCTTTCTGATAATGTGAATTATTAGTAGAAGCAAAATTTAATGCCGTCTACTTATGTGAATCTTTAGGGAGTTTCCACCACAGGCTATTCTTCAAGCGTTAAGGGATGAGACCATGAATGACCCTCGGGATCGTATTGCGATCGCACAAACCCATGCTTTTTACAGGCCATCCCTTCTTGGCCAGAAGTTTTGATGTGGATATCTCTCTCTTTTGCATGTAATTTTATTAGTTCTCAAGTGAGTGACAAGATGTGTTGGTATTGTAGTTTTATGTAGCATTCTACTTGTGGGGGATAATGTATTAGGAGAACGCTTGGGCATCAGATGGTTTCTTTAATTGTGTATTGTTTAGTAGAAAATTTAGAAATCGATGGGGACACGAGGTCTCCATTCGCATACCACCCTATTTCGTTTCTCCCAGATTCGAAATAGGCTATTTAACTTAATTTTTTTTATTTTTAAATGGGTTAGTTTCTAGTTCTTTTTATATGCACTTGTTTAAGATTTTAGTTGTGGCCCAGAACTCCAAATATCTCCAAGTTTTTCTCATTCTCTGATTTGTCATGTTTTTGCACGGTTCTTTGTGTGGCGCTTTTTTTCCTTTTTTCCTATACTCTTTAGCATATATGGGTTTTTTATTTTTTGAGCACTGTTTTTTTTTTTAATTTCTTTTTGTATGGAAAGATTCTGTGGCCATTGCTTGTAAAACACACTATTTCGGAATAGTGAAAACAGTTATCAAAATCAATTAAAAATGGGTCAATTGATAATGGGTTGGCAAGTAGAAAAGTAGGCCAAACTCTCATCCTTGCCCCCAAGTGCGCCACGGTTTGATACATGCAAGAGATAATATTGAGGCAACCCAATATAATAATAATACCCTCCCTAATGAATGGCCAAAAAATAAAATAAAATAAAATATAAAAATATAAAATATAAAAAATGAGTCAATTTGGTGGAAACCAAACCAAAACGCAGCGGTGAATAATTCTCAAATATCGAACACAATTTTTTTTCATTTAATTTTTTTTATACAAGAATGGAGAATTGAACCTAGGACTCGAGCGGTAAATATCGAACAAAACTATTATCTCAAAAAGAAAAATGAAAAAGAAAAAAATTGTTTACCAAAATTGCAGCGTTTTATTACTGGCCGAAAGAAATAACAGCGTTTTATGGCAAAAGAAAAAACAGTGCAGAGGCCCGAGGCATAAAGTGAAGAGTCAGAAGAGTTTAGGAGAGTGAAAGAGGAAAAACGAAAGATGTCGTTGGTGGACTATGCATCTTCAGACGACGACGTATCGGAGGAGATTAGGGACAATAAGGAAAACGAGCCAGCCCAAGTACCCCAGGACGATCCACAGCCTCCGACTCGTCCTCACACCCAGTAATTCATGCTTCTCATTTTCTCTGAATTTCATTTTTAAATTTGAGAACTTTTAGTTCGGTTGGATTTACTATTTTTTTAATTTTTAATTTTATGATATTCTGAATACAGATATTTTTCATTATTTTTGTTTGGGACCATATGGAAAATAGGGGAAAATGGGGGAAAATAAAAAATATAAACACATAAAATTTGTTCTGTTCAATTTTTAGAAACCTTTGTAGTTTGTATTGGAATGCTGTTATTTTGTGCATATGTGAGTTGTAAATCAGAAAGGAAAATTGGAGGGTTTTTTGGAAGAAGCATATTGCCATTAGCTTACTTAGGGTTACTTCCCAATTTTAGGGAAACTAAAACTTTTTGAGGATGCATAGCACTAAAATAATTTTTCATGTTCTTTTGTTTGTGGTAGCTGGTTGGCTTTTTTGTTTTGTTTTTTGTTTTGGGTTGCATAATGTTTAACAGAATGGTGTTGGAGTTCCGAATCTGCAAATTTAGGGTGGTTTTTTGTTGTGAAGATTGAAGGAGTGTCAGAATGATTGGTAATCTTCGGACTTCAAGTTCAAAGATGAAATTTTTTTAAAGATAAATTTAGATTTTTTTTTTTAGGATTTGAAATGTTGGGTGCTAAAAGAGGGGGGTTTCTTAACTGTCCTTAATTTTCACAGCTGGAAAATTAGTCACAATGTTTTATATTTATATTCTCCTTACTGGGAATATTATGCTTCTCACTTCCCTGGGATGCCTTTTAATTTGGTATTTTTGTGTGTAATAGATCCGTTGTTTCATCATATCAGCAACCTGAAAGTACTGCCCATTCATCAGCCCCTTCAATTGAGAAACTTCCTGATGCTTCAATGCTCTTGAATTCTCCTGTTTTCTCATCCAATATGTTTAGCGGTGGCGACCACTCCTCACGTGTTGCAGCTGCAATAGCTGAAAGTGCATCACGCAAGAGAGAGTCAAATGAATTTGTTTCCTCTGTTCCCCGCAGTAAAGTTCCCAGAGGTAACTTGCCTCATTCCAAGAATGTTCCCGATACAATTGGTGGTATGCTGGTTCCACCTCAACTTAGCGGAAGGTTAGTTTCAATAGGTTTGATATTTGCCATAGCTTATTCGGCATCTGAGTTGTACGCGTTTAAAAAAATTCTCCTTTAGATTCTGCTTATGTTAAACTGTTTAGCCTTACAGACATGCACTTCGCGTACATGTGCATATGACCTGCAATGTGAGCTTCACTTTCTTGAATAGTACATCTTGAGTTGCATTTTCCGAGTAATCACGACTACAGAATTTGTTTAGTAGTAATTTGACATTTAAATGCCAACTGCCATGTTTTTGGAGTTTTAACTAAACTTGCGTTACATATAGATCATGCTATGATGATATGATTAAATTTGTAGATTTGTGATGAGTTTTAGTGAATAAATTATACCATTACAATGAGCGGATTTACTGACTTTGACCTTCACACTAAAGTACAAAAAAAATAACCATGGACATGTTAAATTTTGAGTTGAATAGGGGATAAAGTAGCACTTTAAAGTTTAAATAAAAACTTTTGATCCCTCAAAACCCTCCCCTATTCTCTGCAATTACTAGTAGAATTTACATATGAGAGAACCATTTGCACATATGGAGCATGTGGCAGATATAAATGCATATGACTTTTAATGGAATGGACTTTCTTTAACTGGGAAAAATTGTAGATGTGAAGTGTGGTAGTTGCTTTTATAACAGTCATGATGACCAATGAAGTGGACTCTTTTTAAGTGGTCCCTGATAGGAATTCTGTTGCATTGCTCTATATTCATAGGATTCCTCACTGCTTATAGTGGTACATCCTTTAGACTTTGATTTTACATCAAAAGATGTATTTGGGTTGCATACTACTGGGTCATATTTAATTTTGTGACTGAAAAACATTGTTCACGGGTAATTGCTGCTTTGAAAATATTTGTTAAGTCTGACTTCAACTGTATAGGATTAGGTTTGTGAGTTTCTAGGTTACTGTGCATGAATCTGATATTATTGTGTTGGTGAGTTTGATAATTATTGACCTGTTTGAGTTTCACATTGTGCAAACTTGCTAAAACCAAGGCTTGGTTAATTTTATGGGAAAGAACTTTTTAGGAATACAATAAAATTTTCCTGTGTTTGGTGAATCCAAGGAACTCTATATACATTGGGAATGAATTCTAAAACTACTGGTCTTTTTCTTTGTCTTTTTTGGGATGGTGGCAATCCCAGAACTTGGGGTATTGTATTCATGAGCAACATTAAATATGCCAACTTTGTTATACGTTAGAGTTTTTCAATCTTATCATCATTTTTTTTTTCTTTTGGGTCCAGGAGCAACATTGTTACAGAAGATGTAGGAAAGCTATTTGTCAAAAAGCAAGCTGACCCTTCACCAAAGTAGACGATACATAAATGGGTGATGACGTAGTTGAAGTCTTAGATAATGTGTTTCTTTTTCCATATTGGACTGAGAGTCTGGATGATGCTTTTCAGAAACATATCAACTAGTGAGGATTTTGTTTGTGTAAAATGTAAAGAATGTTAGAGGACCCTTGTATTGTATTTTTGTTCTAGTTTCCCAAGTCGTGTCACAACAGTTAACTAGGTCGTACTCACTGGATGAACTATTGCATAATAGCATCAATGACAATTATCAAGTTTTCAGATATCCAAAAGTAAATTCTTCTTCTGCTAATGGGTTTTGTTGCACTTATGAGGCATATTTGCCTTGATCCGTGTTTCGAGTTATAGATAGCTCGTGCATTTGCCTTGTCTGATCAAAAAATAGTTTCGGTTGAACTTTAAATACATGTAATTGGATGGCATCCATAGGCTTTTCATACTCCAACTGATGAAGCAACAAACTCTTCAACTTTTGCTACTTCACTTTCACACATCAAATTTTCTGTGTGAGAATGAGATAGCAAAATGAGATCAGCATTCCTTAAATTATAAGAAATACCTTAGATCATCATTCTTTTAAATGGGATGATCCTTTTTAAGTTTCATTTACCCATAATTGTATATGACTCACATATTTTCTACACATTTTGACTCCAATAATTACTCTTTTCTTCTTGTTATAGTGTTTTTATTGATCTTTACATGGATCCTCAATTTTTTCACCCCAAAATCTTGATTAAAAATAACGAAAATTCCTTGCTAGTTCCTCCCAATTTCCGGTTCAATTAGATACTGCCAAAAGAAAACTACGAGGCCTGAGCTTCTCTAGACAGGAAGATGTTCTCCTTGTACAAGGATGGCTTGCAACCAGCATGGATGTTGTATACATAAAAGGTCAACCAAAGGCTACTTATTGGGGGCGAGTGACACAATATTTCCACAACTATAAAACATTTGCAAGTGATCGAGAGGAGAAATCACTCCTACAACGTTGGTCAACTATTCAACTTGCAACCAAAAAATTTTGTGAATATGTTACTCAAGTGGAAAATAAGCACAAATATGGCATGAATGAGCAGGATAAGGTAAACTTCTCCTTTCGCAATCTCAATTTTTTTATTTTGTTGTTAATCAGTGTTTTTGTATATTTGATAATGAACTTTTTTGCAGTTTTTTTATTCGAAACAATTATACGAAAAATTGGAAAAGAGAAAATTTCATTTTGACCATTGCTGGAAGCTGTTGAAGGATGCCCCAAAGTGGGTGGATGATATGCACAAGAAAAAACCATCAAATAGAGTAAAAGGTACAAGTCTCTCTCCTGAATTCTCATCTTCTTCTACTTCACAGAGTTTGGTAGAACTTGTAGAGGACCAAGTCCGTAATACTGAATCTGGGAACATGGAGAGACCACAAAAAAGGAAGGAGGTCACAAATACTGATGTTGGGAACATAGAGAGACCACCAATAAGGAAGGACGTCCTAAATACTGATTTTGGGAACACAGTGAGAGCACCGATAGGGAAGGACGTCCCAAGTAGTGATTTTGGAAGCAGGGAGGGACCATCGATAAGGAAGGACGTCCCAAGTATTGATTTTGAGAACACAGAGAGACCACTGATAAGGAACATTACAATTACTGATTTTGGGAACATTGATAGACCGCCAGTAAGGAAGGATGTCCCAAATAGTGATTTTGGAAGCAGGGAGAGAACATCGATAAGGAAGGGGGTCCTGAGTATTGAT